ATACATGATGAGAGTGAGGCGGAGATGGCAAGCAGCAGGTATACGCGCGGTCTGGGAGTGAAATCCCAACAGGGCTCCCGCTCAAGCAAACCTATTTTTCTACACTGGGAACGCTGAATTAGCAGCAGTTTGTCTGAGGAGGATAAGAATACCGGCTTCGAGTGCATGGGCTGACCCTCTGATAGTGGTCATACATATACTGTTCATCTCTGTTCGGTATCGTTGTTGATGGACTGCGCTGTTAGTGCTAATGAGCAGGGAACATCAGTGCTGAAAGGCATATGAAAAACCTGCATAACAAGCATTTGTCTCCCACGACTCAGAAAGCAATTGCGGACGAGTTACCCGTCGGCGTTTTGCCAAGAACGGATACGGTAAGATAAGGTATCCGGGGTATCGGGCATCCGGGACGGTACGTTGCAGCTTGATGGGGCCTTACAAGGGTACCTTTCTTGAAAAAGACGCTACGTAGCGCCTGCTCAGGAGCGCGGAATTCCGTCCTCTCAGGCTTAATTACTCAGGTCGAAAAAAGCATCGTTTGCAATACCCCCGGCGACGATTATTTGTTCCCAGTTTGACACTCCTCCCTTATACAGACCTCTCCACCTCTCCACTCAAAGCCCTCTCACACTACTTTCACTGCGTGTCCTTGGCAAATCCTCTTATCGCACTCTGGACTGTAGCAATTAAGGGTCCCATATTTGTCACAACTCTGGAATGTTCCAACCCTAACCTGAGCTTCGACTATTTATGATCACTTTTCTCGAAGTCTTTGTTCTATAGGGAAAGCTCTGGATGACTCAGTCTCAAGCAGCCTTTCTATTAGGTTGGCTAATAAGTAATGGCCGTTTTTTCAATTGAAAAATTTGTTCGAAAAGTGAAACGTTTTGCAAGCAAGTTATATATCATCTGATAGGAAACTTCTCGTAGTATAAGAATATCAAAAAAGCTTTGGTTGAGGATATAGTTTTTGTGAATTTTTTAGTCGTTGAAGTTGGAAGTGAAGTCGGCGAAAATTAGCATCTTCGACAACTGCCTCTATTTACGTCTACTCGAAGTGCTAAAATCGCTTAAGCTGCTCCATACATTCGGAAAAGGTTGAGGTAGAAGTCTCAGCAAGGGAATCTCAATAGGACGCTTTGGAACTAATTTCAAGAATTTCAAAGTTGGCAACCTTCACCTTGCCAATATTGGGCAGGCTCACGTCTGTTCCACCTGAAATTTCATGCTAATAGTTGAATTAATTGAATTTGAATTTGATATTCTAATACTACGAGAAGTTTGCTATTAAACGATATTAAGCTTGCTTGCAAAACTTTTCACTTTTGGAACAAATTTTTCGATTGAAAAAAACGGCCATTACTTATTAGCCAGCCCACTGCTAGTGGGCTGGCTAATAACTGCTAGTGGGCTGGCTAATAAGTAATGGCCGTTTTTTCAATTGAAAAATTTGTTTCAAAAGTGAAAAGTTTTGTTAATATCGTTTAATAGCAAACTTCTCGTAGTATTAGAATATCAAATTCAAATTCAATTAATTCAACTATTAGCATGAAATTTCTAAATAGAGGCAGTTGTCGAAGATGCTAATTTTCGCCGACTTCACTTCCAACTTCAACGACTAAAAAATTCACAAAAACTATATCCTCAACCAAAGCTTTTTTGATATTCTTATACTACGAGAAGTTTCCTATCAGATGATATATAACTTGCTTGCAAAACGTTTCACTTTTCGAACAAATTTTTCAATTGAAAAAAACGGCCATTACTTATTAGCCAACCTAATACATCAAAAATATCTGTTTTCTTTTCAGGACGCACTCTGAGTTGCATTCCCTCAAATTCGAGTTTTTGCTGGCGAACCACATAGTGAAAGTGAAAGCAGAACGAAAGAGCCCAGAAAATCAAGAGAACATGGATCAAGAGAAATGAGGCCTTCCCAACACCGCCAACGGCCACTCCTGAAAGTCCATCCCGTTGCACAAGTGGAGCATGATGGCTCTTGCTTGGAATGACGGAACCTTCGTAGCGTCTTTGAGTAGCAAATTATTCGCTTAATCTATTAGTGTAAAGCAGCATACTCTCTTTGTTTTGCGGGTCATTTGTATACCTATACATCTTCGTGTTTGAGAAATGTTTCGAAAAAATCTATTTTTTTTGTTTTCTTTGCTTTAACTGGTTGTGAATGAGTTGTTCGTCCGTTTAGCAATCGGTTATGTACTTTTACTATTTATGGCGGAAGCAAGGAATGATTGCATTTCATAGTCATATAAAAATAAACCAAAATCCAATTAAACAATTCAATGCTATATTTTTTGATTTGTTTGTTCCTATAAAACTACTGTCTATAGCAGTAGCTCGCAGTGCACGGGCTATGGTTTGCTGTTGTGATTTTTGGTTCAACCAGTGAGAATGAAAAGCAAAAGGAAAATGTTAGCGATGAAATCTGGTAATATTCAGCCTTTCGACGGGTCACATACAGTCTTTTGCCAAAGAATCCTTATCCCTGAAAAAAATAATCGTCAGGTAGCAATGGGATGCTGGGCGTCCAAGCAGGGCTAGGTTTGCCGCGGCACCATCCCATTTTCCACCGATTGTGGTCTCTCGCAAGTTGCAACTTCAGAATCTGGTGGAGAGCGGGTTCGCGCCGCGCAATACTCGCCCAACCCCCTGACACGCCCCAGCATACGCAGCGAACAAGTCTGTGCGCCTTCGAGAGACTGTGACTCTTCGTTGGGCGATCCGTTGGTTTTTAGACTCTTTGTACTGACCTTTTGACTTGAAAGCTGTTGTCAGAGGAACCTGCAGTAACCACAATGAGCAAAATCACAGTACTATGAATCTTGTGGGGTAGGGAACAATTTGCTCCCTTCAATCGATCTCTGACTATGCCTCGTGTGGAGACCTGTTTCTGTAAAGCAATGCAAAGCACTATTGCTTCATAGTTACCGGTCGGATCGCTAACTGTCGCCGAGCGCTCCCCCTTCTTGTGTGCCGGCCTGACTTCGTCAGAGGCCTTTCGGGCAAGTATGAGAAATGTGTCAAATGATCATGAGACCATTATAAACGGAAATGCAGAAAGAAAAGTTGTAAATAGCTTCATATCACACAGTAGTTATTCACATCACATTTCGCGGATTTTTGAGCTCACCATCGACAGTATATCTTCGCAGTGAGCCTTTCGACCCTTTCATAATTTGGACTGCTTGCGACCAACCTTTCCAATTTCTCTCGAAACATAGCAAAAAGTGAATTTGGCTCCTACAAAATTCAAATTCTTTCGTTCATGCGCTCAATATGTTCCCCCCCCCACCCCTTCAGCCTTCATCCGTTCAGTACAACAGCAGACATCTTCAACGTTCGATTTCCCGTTGATGTCTCTGTGGATGAAGGAGTGAGGTAGAGCCAGCTTTGTGTTCAAAAATGGTGAGTTATGCGGCCCAAATACAATATGGTAAATAGCACAGGATTGAAAAAACCCGCCCGAAATCCTCATGTGAACCTAATGCTGAACAGCGTTTGCACGTGTACGAGGCGAAGAATGGAAATGGTCGGGCGACTTCACCTACTTATTGGTGC